ATGTAGCTGAGTCTACATTCAAACACAGGCCTGTCTCCAGAGTCCAGCTGATCCCCACTCAAGACTGAACTGACTGCAAAGTTAAACGTGCCAAGTCGTGGCAGCTAACTTCGAGAAGTTGAGAGAGCCTGAACCCTACAATGGAGGTCCTGGTCAGCTCTGGGGCTGTGTGGGGGCACTATTTACATCACTCGTCTGCTCTCCATGCCTGAGCATCTAATCGACTCCACTGAGCTAAAAGTGGATATTTTTTATTGTCCGTGGACCATTATTATTAGCTGTGTACCTGAAGAGATAAGGGTATTTCCGCCTTTTCTGGAACTGTTTAAATGTGTAAGAGGGAAGGCTATTTCAGCGACCCCTATGATGACAATTATAAAGAAAAGAGCCGGCCCTGAGTGACCATGTGCGCTTTAAGTGCATGAAAGGGAAGGCATGCCTGGGGGCGGACGCCGGACCTGTGGACCAGCAAGAACAGCTGAGCCTGGAGCCAGGGGAACCCCACCCAAGGATGCCCCTGAAGCTCACAAGCCAGAGCTCAGGAAGTCAGTGCTTGCCAGCCCTCTGGGTTGGACTTAGGTGAGGAGGGAGAAGCTCCCTTCATGGCGCTGGCCACATGTGTGTATATATACACATGTATGTAAAGACACACATACAGGCATACATGGGCACACCTGCTGTGCTCCCCAGCACAAATACATATCTCCCCACCACCACCACCACTGGTGCTTCTCCTACCCAGCAGGAGAGGGTCCAAGGAGGAGCCGCCCGCCTCCGAGGGCAGGCATGGCTTACCCATCCTTGTATCTTCCTATCCCCTTCCTTTTGCTAGGTCCTCCAGGGAGGTCTATCCAGTTCACCCAACAGACTCGGGGAGCCCTACTATGTGCCAGGCACTGGAAAAAAACCTAAGTTTGAAGAGAAACAAAAGAGGGAAGGCAGAAGGGAAAGAAGCAACATGTACACAGCAGTGTCTTCACACAGAAGAGCATGTATTGGGTGTGTGTGTGCATGTGCACGCGCACACGTGTGCACATGTACACAGTCGTGCATACTAGCCTGCACACGTGAGCTCCTGCTAGGGATGAGTGCCCCCAACATCCACCCCAGGGCAAGAGCACGGCTATGCAGAGAAAAGCATTCTCTGACCGTCTCGACTTTTAGTCTAAATAAACATTCTTTAACTTGCAGCAGAAGAAACGTGGCTAGGACCACGGAACATCACAGTGGGGAGGCAACATCCACTCTGTTCCCCCTTCACGTGGGATGCAGCCTGAAAGGCCCAGAAGCCTGGGTTATAATCCCAGCACCACCACTTGCTAGCTCTGTGGACTTAAACAAGTGACCTGACCTCTCTGAGCATCAGTTTAGTCTTTAATAAGATAGTGATGGAAATAACAGAGCCTATCTTAGGGAGCAGTTGTAAGAAGGCAAGCACAGAACTTAAGAGAGCACCTGGCAGACAGTCAGCACTCAATGCATATGTTAGGTTTCTGAGGCCAAAGGAGAAGGGGAGCAGGAAGATGAGGGGCCCAGCCTGGGGCCTAGACTCCTCGTGAGGCACTGATTCACATTTGAGGATCCAAGGAGGCCCTTCCAACCCCGAGGCTTGGAACGCTCTTGGTCCCCTGCCCTGTTCCTCTGCCCCACCTCTCCCCTCCACGCGAGACCTAGAACCCCATCTCCAAGATTCCCCCTGAGCCAGGACCCAGGTTCCTGGCCTTCCTGCAGTTTACCTCCCCCTCCCTTCTCTGTGGCCACATTTACCCAGCTGACCCTTCCCGGCCAGAGCCCCAGAGCTCAGCACCCCTTCCAAGCCTGCCTCCTCCCAGTCTCCCCAAGCAGCCCCGTCCCTGCCCAGCAGACGGATGGTAAGGTGAGGGGGGCTGCAGGGAGAAGGGACACTGGGCAGGAGCCAGAAGGACACCTCTCTGCTCTCTCAGCCTACTGACCACAGCACTGTGCCCTGCCTGCTTGATCCGAGCTCTGGGACTGCTCTCCAGTGAAGGAGTCTCATCCACTCTCATTCTCCTCTCCTATCCATAAGGTATTTTCTGAGCATCTGCTCTGAGCTAGTCAGGCCTTGAGGATCCACCCCAATGACAGTATTGGGGTCCTGCCCTCCAGGGGCAGCAGCAAGGCGGGATATGATCCACACCGGTACTTCTCAAGTCCCCTAGAGGGCTGGTTAAAACAAGGATCGCTGGGTTCTCCCCAGAGCTTCTGATTCAGCAGGTCTGGGGTGGGGCCTGAATATTTGCATATCTAACGCTTCCAGGTATTGCTGGTATTGCTGGTTTATAGACCACAGTGTGAGAACCGCTGATTCTCTCTGTAATTCAAGGCGGACTGAAGCCAGGGCTTTGATCAGAAAGGAGGAGAGAAGCTCAGGGAAAGGGCACACCAGGCAGAGGAAGCAGCATAAACAAAGGCCTGGTGGCTCCAGGAAGTACAGCAGTGAAAGGTACAGGGAGGCGGTGCTGCTGGGGAAGGAGGGGTAGGCGGGAAGGGCACGTGGGGCCAGGCGGTGAAGGGGCCAGTGGGCAGCCACACCCCTGCCCTCTGGCTCACCAAGCAGCTCCTTTGTGCCAGGCGCCCCTGGAAACTCTGCCAGGTTCCTTGGGCTCTGGCCCAAACCCATCTTCCCCTCTGCAGCCACGCGGCACCCCTGCCCCAGGCCTGGCTTTCACAGGCTGCCGTAGGTGGCTGTCAGCATCTCTGCCCGCCCTCCCAGGGCGGCTCCTGGAGCCGCGAAAGGCAGCCCTGAGGTGCCAGGGAGACGTGCCAGGTGAGCCAGCATGCACACCACGGAGGAGCGCCCGCCATGCCCCAGCCCCCGTCTATCAGCTCCTTCTATCAGCACCAGGCGCTGGGCCTGTGTGTTTGTTGCCTCTTGAGCCAGAGCAGTTACTATGGGTAGATAATAATAGCAATCGTAATCCCTCATAATTGGACCAGACTTTGCTGTTTGCAGGGCACTCCATGCCCGTGACCTCATCTGACTTCCACAACCACCCTATGAGACAGGCACAGTGAGAGTTACTATCCCCATTTTACAGCTGAGCAAATGCAAACCCAGAGGGCCTGAAAGTCACATCTCCAGGAAATGACATCCGCGGGCCTAGGGCCTGGGACTTGGGACTCTCTGGCCAGTGCTTTTTCTCTGTCCTGAATTGTCATGATAGTGAGCCCATCTGCTGCTCTCCCTGGGGGCTCTGCTGCCCAGGGAAGCCCTGGCCAGTAACGGGAGGAATGTGGCCTGTCTGCCCCCTCTCCTTCATCTGTGGGGGGGCAGGTGACCACCAACTGCAGGTGTATAAACACAGAGCAGTGTCAGCACCAGAAAGGACACTGGGCCAGGGGAGGGGGTCAGGAGGAGCAAAGCCAGGCCCAAGGAGGGAAGGGAATTAGTCATGGCCACAGCTGCGGGTCAAGAGCACAGGTGGCCGCAGGTGGCCTTGGCTCTTTGATGGCAGGGTGTGGGTCTGCTACAGTCTGAGTCCTGGGTGGGAGGAGCCCAGAAAGCCCATGGGATCAGAAAGAAAGGGACTGACCTGCAGCCCCTAGGAGCCCCAGCAGGTGGGCTGCAGCATGCACTTTGTCCCCAGCTTGGGGGCATACATGGCCTCTCACCCTAAGGCACTCTACTGGGTTCCTGGCTGGGAAGGCAGGTTTCTGGGCTTCATGCATGCACATGTATGTGTGTGTGTCCATACCAGGACCCACACAGGTGGGGCAGGAGACAGGGCTCTCTTCTGGACTCACCACTGATTAGCTGGGCCCAGCTTCCTCGTCTACAAACCAGGGCCATCTGTCCTTGCCCCACTTGTTTCAAGGGCTGTCCTCAAGGACCAAATGGATGGAAATCACCCAGAAAACAGAAACTGACTCTAAGAATGAGCAAGCCTCAGAAGAGGCCGAGCACACACAGTGGGGAAAGTAGGCAGGGAGCGGGGTCTCGGAACTGCGGCTGATCACGGTCCTCAGAGCTGCCGCTCCTCAGAGGGCTCAGGGGTCCCACGCCTGGTGTCAGGTGTCCCCCTGGTTCCAGAAAGACCAACTGTGCCCCGTGAGCACACCCTGCTACTCCCAGCTACCACCTAGCACCACCACCCCTCAAACCCGCTCAGGAAAAGGAGAGCAGGCAGAGGACACTGCGGGGACCAGCCCGGGCCTGCCAGATGGGACGCCCCAGGAAGGTCACGGCTGGCATGCTTCCCTGTCAGGGTGGAGGCGGGGCCTGCCATCCCTGGGGATTCGAGTGGTTCTGCCAACAGGTGGACATGGCTTGGTGAGGTCCTCAGATAGCCAGTCAGGACCCAGCAGGGACTCCCACTAGTCTGCAGGGATCTCCTCTAACTGACTTGGGCCCATCCTAGAGTTCAGCAGAAGGGCAAAGAGGTCACCCCTCTTGGGGCCCTAAAAACAAGGATGTCACTGGCTTTAGGGCCAGAAGTGACGCTTGCTCAGAGCCGGGGTGGGGTGGGGGCGGGAAACCAGTGTCTCCACCGTGGCTGGTGCCACCCTGAGCTCACCGCACCCCACACCCCACAGTGAGCCGGGCTGTCTGTGTGGCAGCGGGAGTCCTCACCAGGCCTCCCATCTACAGAGCTCCTTGAACTTGTCTTTGGCCTCCCCAAAGCTACTAACCCCTCAGGCAAACAGATCTAAACTAGGTAAAATGACTCAGACCTAAGGACACACAGCTAGTTAAGAGGCCGATTCAGAAAGGAAGCCAGGTTTGGGGCCCCTGCCAGGCCGACCCCTAACAATCACACAGACCTGGGCTCTGAAGTTCGGCTCAAACACCGCGGAGGGGTGGGGGTGTGGGCTTAGAGACCAGCTCCTGGAGCCTGATCTCCAGTATTTAACCTCTTCACACCTCAGTTTGCTTATCACAAAAGAAGAAGACTCCTTCCTCCCTACAGCCCCATGTGGAGACGAGCAATGAGGTCCAGCGCCCAGCTCTCCCCCTCATCCCTGCACAGTCAGCTGCTCACCTTGCGCTCCTCTTCCCGCTCCGGAGCGGAGCCGCTGGTGTCCCCGGGGCCGCTGGCCGGCATCGCGGGCAGCTGGGCGGTGGGAGGCAGGCTGGGGCTGCACGGGGCTGGGGGGCTGCTGGGCTTTGGGGAAGGAATTATCGTGGTCTCGGTAAGCAAGAGTTACAACTTAGACATAGATCCAGGTGCGGAGCGGAAACCCTGGGGAACTGCGGCCTCAGGCTGCCGGTGGGGTTGGGCTTCCAGTGACTCCACCTGTGGAAGAAGAGAAGAGAGGGGTCAGCAGGGCGGGCACCGCCCCCCCACCCAGACCCTCCCACCTGACCCCTAGTCCCTCCCAGGGCCAGCCCCTAAGCTTCAGGGCCCCCCCACCCCCCAGCCTGTGAGGCCTGCCCCTCCAATCTGACTCTTCTTCCCAGGTACCGGCTGGACCCGGCACCCTAGGGACCAGGGGAAATCGAGGCCACCGAGTTGGCAGCGGGGCCCTGCCTGGCTTCCCTCGGGGGGCCCGCCACCTGCCTCCGAGGCAGCGAGGGGACGACAGTCTCCCGGGGGCCTCCGCGCGGCTGTGGCACAGTGGGACTCACAGCTGCCTCCCGCCTCCTCCCGTGTCTTCATTCACGTCTGTTCTTTCCTTTGAAAGCTTCCCGCAGCCTCCCTCCCACCCCCAACCACCCCCTGGGAAATCCCAGAGGTCCCCAGCCCGGCTACATTTTCCTCTGATCTGTCCTCCCCGCACCCCCACCCCCACACCGCTCCCACCACGTGGAGGAAGTGAGCGGCAGTCACAGGATGTAGTGAAATGAATGTCACCTCACTTCGGGACGGGCGCCTGGGCCCGGAGAAAGCTGAGGTTGAACTCGGGGGCTGCGGCCAGGCTGAAGGCCTAGGTCTGCAGAGCTGTCGTGGGGACGCCCTGTGGGCGGGAGAGGCTGTGGCCGCAGCCACGCCGAGGGAGGAGGCCAGGCTGCTCTGCCCCTCCACCCGTGAACCGGCCCCATCTGCCCTCAGAAACTGGTGGGCTCCAAGGGGCCCTGCAAAGGCACAAGGCTGAATTTTAGGGGCTTTTCAGTCTCCCTGCTTCAGGTGTGGGCCTCAAGCCAGCGAACTAACAAAGCCTGGGCCCCACCCCCACCACAGGCCTCAGCTGGGGGTGGGGGTGCTGTGGCTTCACCCGCCCCCCCCTTCACTCGGAGGAGACACTGAGTTCTCCTGGGCCAAGCCCCTGCCTCCAGTGCGCCAGCCAGGACAGGGAGGGGACTGGCAGGAGGAAAGTGGGAGGCAGGCTGGATCGAGGCCCACCCACACCCTTCCCCTTCCAGTTCCCGGTTCTGCTTCCCCCATTCCCCCCTCCCTCCAGGGCTTCTTCTCCCATCCCCCTCCAGCCAGGGCTCCCTGGAAAACCAGGAACCGGAGAAGGCGCAGGCTTGGGTCTTCCACGGGTGCAGCCCCTCCCCGGGGATGGGCGTTGGGGGGCTGGGGTGGTGTGGAGGGGAAGCTGGCGCTAGGAAGGGCCTCCTTAGGGCCAGGACAGGAGGGGCCCCCGTAAGTTAGAGCCTGGATGGGCTGAAGGTGTGCCACCCCCGCCCAGGGGAGCCCTAAGGAAGCTGCAGGTGGACCACGGATGCCTGGGCTGAAGAACGTGTGTGTGCCATTAGCTGCTGGCATAGCCAGTGCAGAAGCAAGAGCAGGTCCATGTGTCCCACGGTGTACGAAACCCAGAATGGGCCTTCCTCTTCGGGCAGCCACGAGTATTATTATTACCATCTCCACGAGTGGTTACTACCGTCTATAGAAGTATCACTACCATCTACTGTAGAATCTAAGGTTGCAGAAGGCTAGGGCTTATCTGTGTTCCAGAGTCAGAGCAGAGGCTTGAACCCAGATCACCAACTCCAGAGCTCTCAGGGCATCTCTATAAAGCTCCATCCCCCCAGCTTATACCACCCCTCAGAGACAACCCCAGGAACCCATCAGACACCAATCCAACCCAGAACTCCACAGGGCTTCCGTCCATCATTAGCCAGCAAGTCCCCCTCAAACCCATTCCTTGTTTGTTAGCACAAACATCCCCCAGTCACCCATCACATCAAAAGCTTCGAAAAGGAGGTGGAAGCCAAGAGAGGCAGAGTCTGATTGGGAAGAAGAACACTGATCCCAGAGTCAGCAGAGGTGGCTCTAATCCTGACTCGGGCTCCTCTGGCCCTCAGTTTCCTCATCTGTAAAATGGAAGCATTGGATTGATCTTCAAGAACCAGGTCTTCCAGCCCTGTCCTGCCCTGCCAAGCTGCTGGAGGCCCTGAGGGCAAAGGGTGGGAGCAGATGGTGGGGGTGGGGGTGGTCCGGGCATCTCCGGGAACGCTGAGGGCCTAGCATGGCGTCCATGCAGAGCTGGGCACCAAGTACTTTAGGGACAGAGAACCCTCTCCAGGAAATTTGTTTCAATGCTGCCCTGAGGGCTAGAAATGTCCAGGGGTTTCTGTAAGAAAAAGCACTGGTGACAAGAGGAAGGAAGCAGGAGGGAAAAAGCAGAACATCACAGGGTGTTGACCCTGAGGGCAGACACCCCGGAAAGGAAATGCTCATCCCCCTCACCCTCCCCTGCTTACCCGCCTGAGCTGCACACTCTGTCCACACAGCAAACACAGCTGACCTGGGTCAGCCTTCTGGCTCCTTCGTGTAACCCGATGGAACAGCCTTGTCAGTAAGTGTCCCTCCAAGTCAGCCAGCATCATCGAAAATCACCCAGCACAGGGCCGGGCAGCCCATGCACTGCAGAGCTCTGGGGCCCACCGGGGCAGTCAAGGTCCAGGCCTGGACACAGTGCTGCCTGCCTGTCCTTAGATGCTTCCTTCTTCTCCCAAGCAGCCCTGCTGAGGGGAGAGACCTGCTCCTGAGCCCACGGTCCCAACGCAGCAGCACGTGCCCAGCATGACACGACAGCCCTGCTGCTCCTGGCTCCAAAGCACCCTCCTCACCCGTGCCAAGGCTGCATCACCAAACCACCACCAAACAGAGACCCTTGCCAAGAACCCTCCCACCAAGATTCGTTGCTGTTTAACCTCTAAGTCGTGTCTGACTCTTTTGGGACCCCATGGACTGTGGCCTGACAGGCTCCTCTATCCATGTGATTTCCCAGGCAAGAAACCTGGAGTGGGTTGCCGTTTCCTTCTCCAGGGGATCCTCCCAATCCAGGGATCGAACTGGCATCTCCTGCATTGGCAGGCAGATTCTTTACCACTGAGCCACCAGGGAAGGCCCACTACCATGATAGGCAGCTTTTATTTTCTCCTTTATACTGCTAACGTCCACAGTGGCCATGAATAATGTTTACAAGAACTTTTAAACAATTGTTTTGAGGAATCCTACAGGAAAGTATCTTGGTATCACAACTGACATGGTCACTGTCATCACTGCTCCAGTTACAAAACCGTTATGGAAAAAGATTGGGATTCTGAATATAAACACCCAACTGCCCAAATGTGCAATCTTCTAAATCCAATGTGGGGAAAAGATGGTTTAAGACACAAATTCACAAGATTGGGCTGAACAGAGAGGAAACACCACCAACAAAAAGTGGGGGTCTGGAAAGCAGACTTGTAGCAGGCATATTTCAGACAGTACATGACAAGTGATTTATGACAGAATCCTTTAAAGACACTTGGGATGACAGCACCACGGATCACCCGTGGAACCAGGGGTGAAGAGAAGGTATGTGTGAAAAAGATCAAATGAAAGAAGTTAAAATCTAGATACACTTCCACCATAAAGTCTGAAGGTTTTCTCTCTGGAGAGCACCAAACAGAGGGTCTTTGCACAGAGTCATCCAGCACAGCTGAGAGCAAGAACAATAAATCAAAACCAAGGAGATGGCAACTTCTCTGGTGATCCGGTGGCTGACTCCCAATGCAGGGGGCCTGGGTTCTATCCCTGGTCAGGGAAGTAGAACCCACAAGCTGCAACTAAGAGTTCACATGCTCAATTAAACGTCCTGCATGCAGCAATAAAGATCAAACATCCCAAGTGCTGCAACTAAGACCTGGCGCTGTCAAATAAATGCAAAAACACAAACCCAAGGAGATGAAGGTTATTTTCAATGGTGATGTTGAATACCTCAGGCTAGTCGCTCATTGGGTTCCTAGAATACCAGCAGCCAGATCCTTACCTTCTTTTCAGCAGAATCTTATCAGTACAAGAAGAAAGGTCTAAGAATACAGATACCAGCAACCAGAACCCAAATGGTTTCCAAGTGGCTTGTTTACATCAGCCAATATGGGTCTGCAAGTGAACCAGCTTCTAATCTGTATTTCAGTGCCCTGTTATTAATCCTGCAAGGACAACCAAGAACCACTAGATATCTGAGGGAAGCCTCCTAACTTGGAGTGCTGTCAACACCATGCCCCTGACCCCCGGGGCTGTCTTTTTAACCTGACAGAACTACAGGTGTGACTAGCTGTTCTAACTCTGGGGTCTGGATTCAGGAGCTGAATGGATTTGGATAAAAATGCAGATCTGTTGTGGGCAATGTGCTCCAAACAGGGGAGTAAACCAAGCAAGAAGACATGAGCTCCAGAAAACAGGAATTCTAACCAGAAGGAAGGTGACGGGAATGCCAAGGAAAACCACAGAAAGAAGTCACTGAAAAGCAGCTACACTGTGCCGTATGCGCTGAGAGCAGATAACTCAAAAAATGGAACTGAAACATAATACTTGCTGTGACTGCCCTTGTGGAAAGCCATACAGATAGCTATTAGCAGGTGCGGCAGGTACGGGCAAAAGGTATAAAGAAAATAAGGCACATAAAGAAGCAAGGTAATTAGTCACTTCAGGAGGAAAAAAGGAAACTTAGGTAGTACAGTAAAAAGCTCAGCTGTGAATAGTTGTATTAGTTGATTTAACAAGTGTGTGTGTGTGTATACATACATATAAGCATATATATATATGTAACTTACAAATGAATGCATGTTTGCATGTATGCATGTGGATATATACATATTACATGGTGTATTAATTTCCTATGGCTCCTGTTACAAATTACCAGAAAGTTAATGCCTTAAAAAAACACAAATTTGTTTCCTGAAGTTCTG